GTTTACTTAAGTGAGTGGTAGGTCCATGACTGATTGTTCTATTATTACACTTGATAAACTGCAGAAACTAATGTACTTTTGCATGTGTAAGAAATATTATATAAAAAGTAGCAGCTGAACCAGGAAATACACTCTAGCTCCCTGATTCTCTTAGCTAGGCTTTGTGTACAATGATGCCTCCTCACTGATGATAGAGCCCTAGGAATGCACAGATACAGAGCAAATGGTAGCTAATAATAATAATAGGCTCATATTTACTAAGCCCTTCCTAAGTGCCAAGCCCTGACTAGGTGCTTTCTGTATATAATCTCATTTCATCCTCACATCACCTCTGTAAGGAAGGTACCATTATTAGAGTCATTTCATAGATAAAGAAACTGAGGCTTAGAAAAATTAATTGGCTTGTCCAGGGTCACCAGCTTGAGAATAGTGACATCTGACTGACCACTGACCATGTAGTCTGGGCATCTAAGCATCATGTCAGTCTGTCCTGTGAATGGTTATAACCTATAAAAGATCTGCTTCCTACCTATTCATCTTTTCTGAGATGAGTTTTGGGGCTTGTAGAGGTAAGAATATGGAATTTTCAGAGAATTTTGCCCATAAAAGAATATTGGACAAAGCATGTTTTCTCATATGCAGAAAAATAGGTCAAAGGAAAAATGGATTTAAAATAAAACAAAGAGTATTCATATTAGATGTTTGGAAGAGATAAATGTACCATATCTAAGGAGCTCATGGAAAATATTTAGAAACAACAGACACGTACTTCTTGGAAATGTTTAAGCCCAAGTTTAAGTCCTGAACCAAAATAAAGCCTTCACAAACGCCCTGCTTACCATTTATTAATTCTAAAACAAATGGAGGTGAAACGAAAGGTGACTCCTAAGCCTAGGCTGCCCTCAATTGCAATGCAGGTCAGACATGAGATACGTCCTGGAGCTCAGAGCTCCCTGAGGGGAGAAGACTTCACGGACTGTCCATCCCTGGGATTCTGTGACTGGGGCATGGACTTTTCCTTCCTCTCCTTTCCCCAGTGTGACTCTGAGTGAAATGAGTGCCAGGGCCAGAAATAGGGATCCCAGGGGAAGCTCTGAGGGTTCTGCCTCCAAAAGAAGATCCCCAGCAAATCCAGCAATGCCTATCCATAAACAAATTTTTGTACCCATAAATTCATCCTGTAACAAAAAGCATGGACCCTAGTAGACAAACTAAATGTGACTAATTAACCAGAGTATCTGTGGCACACAGTTCCAAATCTAGTGCTCTGGACCATTGGGTGACCTTACAGCTCACAGTGAAGGGTTCATTTCCCTAGATTAGGTCCTGAAACTAGACGCTATTTAGAGTGATACTGAAGGGGTTCAGAATGAGCTTTCCCAAAATGTGCTACTTTGGCATGTGGGTTAGTTTGAACTGAAGTCAATCAAAGCCCAATAGACTCAGAAAGAGCTTTTACTTCCCCCTTGACTACCTAAAAAATTTAGATGGAGGGCCTGGTCCAGGAAGAAAACCATCACCACAAATAACTACAGAGAACATGTGTTTTCCAAACATTTGCTCTTCCCATCGTCCTGTAAATTGTCTTCCTCCCTGTTGAAGTCTCAGACCCCTACCCCTTTCTCCTTAGCTCAGGAGAAGGGGTGAGCCTCAATTCGCTGACTTCTGGTGGTTCTCATATTCTTACAGGCCTCCCATACATACATAATTAAATTTGTTTTTCTCTTGTTAACCTGTTTATGTCAATTTAATTAATAGACCACTATAAGAACCTAGAAGGGTAGAGGAAAAATTCTTCCTCTCCTACAGAACACAACAGGGCTTACCCTGGTGGGTGGAAACATGTGGAAGTCCTACCAGAATGATCAGGACAGACAGCAATCCCAAAGTCCCACCCTGTATGGTCTAAGGTTAAGCACACAAGCTTTAGACACAGCCTACTGGGTTAAGATGTGGTTCCGCTGCTCACAAAGCAACCCTGAGTAGATTTCTCAAGTTCTCTGTGCCTCAATTCCTCATCTGTAAAGTGGGTATAGTAACAGTTCCTATTTTATAGAATTATGGCGAGAATTAACAGAAGTAATGCACAGTAAGTCTTTAGAAGACTGCCCAGCATACAGCCAGTGTGGTCAGTAAGGATTAGCTATCATTAGGATTGACAAAAAGGGAACCTTAGCACCTATCCTGCCTACCTCAAGACAAATCAATTCTCTCAGGCTTGAGGGCTCCGGGTCCCTGGATCAGCACCCATCCATCCCCCAGGCTTCCCTTCTCACTTACTTACTCAAGTCAGTCACTGGTGCTGGATTCCAGTCAATCACTGGGCCTTTTCCTCCAGGTACAGGAAGAAGCACTGACCTTTTGAGACACTGAACATCTAGCTTCAATTCTTCATAGCTTCCCTACTTCCCACCCAGGGAGCGTGTGAGGCCCAGTCTGGCTTCTTTGAAGAACCCTACATTGAAAGAAAAGGAAATCGAAAGTTTTCCCAGCCACACAGCTCCCAGTAACCTCAGGTTCTCAATCCCTCAACTCTAGTCTAGAAACCAGCCCGCATCTTCTCCAGTCTGTAAAAGGTCCATCACAGCTGTTCACGGCACAGTGGACATCTGGGATCTTGTGGTGGATCAGAAATACATATATTGGGTGGTTCAGATAACCAAAATATATTTCTCATATATATTTGTCTTAATCCACAGTTCACAGCACCCAAAACACTTGGAATTTCCTAAGAGCAATGGGAGCAGCTTTTTTTTATATTTGGTCTTTAGCCCTCAGCCCCCAAAAATGCTTCAGAGCCACAAAGGTGAAACAGGTGTTCTATTATTCATAACAAGCTGCCCTCCACCACAACCGGGCTTATCTTAATGAAGGTAACTTTTGGAAAGCACCTGAGGATGGAGGCTGGTTGTCAGGGGAAATAAGCACAAATAGTTCAGTCCTATTCCCTGATTTCTGGGGAGGGGAAATGGGCTGGAGATTGAATCAAGCACCACTGGCCAATGAGTTAATCAACCATACCTATGTAATGAAGCCTCCATAAAAACCCAAAAGGAGGGGGTTTGGAGAGCTTCCCGGATAGGGAACCAGAATCCTTCCATGCGCCAATGTGCCAGGGCCCCAGGCTCTACAAGGACAGAAACTCCTTTGTTCCGGCCTGTACCCTGTATCTCTTCATCAGGTCATTGATTCATATCCCTTAATATCCTTTGGAGTAAATCAGTTTTCTAGTGAGTAAACATTTTTTCCTGAGTTCTGTGAGCTATTCTAGCAAATTAATAGAACCCAAAGAGAGAGTCGTGGGAACCTCTGATTTATAACCAGACGGCCAGTAGTGCAGGTAATGACCTGGAGTTACGATTGGCATCCTGAGTGGGTGGCGGTCATCGGAGCCTCCAGTTTGTAGCTGGTCAGTCAGAAGCACAGGTAACAGCCTGGGTTTGCAGTAGGCATCTGAAGAAGAGGGCAGTCTTGTGGGCCTGAGCCCTTTACCTGTGGAATCTGATGCTGTCGCCTAGTACATAGTGTCGGAATTGAGCTGAATTCTTGGATACCCAGCTGGCATCTGAGAATTGCTTGTTGGTGTGGGGATGCCTCCACACACACTGCAATTGGGTCCCAGAACCCAAAGAACATCCCAGATCTGGGAATAGAAACTGCAGTTCCCCCACAAACCCAGCCCTCTTCCTTTAAAGCCTTCCTGGGCCAACTGCCAGGAACCACACTCAACTGGTCTGAGTCAGAGGTATCAGTTTTCACGGACTCTTCTGGTGGAAGCTGCTGGGAGCTGCTTCTCTCCAGCCAGGGCCGGATTCCAGCATATCACAGTCTATCTCCTGCATAGCTAGCAGAATCCTCTGTACCTGCTTTCTCCCCTAGCCTGAAGCCAGGAACTCCACCCCTTGTTTCCTTGAAGGAGAGGGTAGGAAAATCATTCAGTCATCTGACATTTATCAAGCTCTCTGTGTGCCTGGGTGCTGCGGTGCCACAGCCTGGTGTGGGAAGATAATATTAAGGCTATGAGAACTATGCAGAGGTAAGTTGATGCTCCTATTAGATTTTTTGCCTCATCATTTCATAGCCCTGTAAAATTTCTCTGATCCCTAAGGTTACATCACAACCTTAGACATCCACGGTTCTATCACTGAAGGAGATGTCTTTGCTCTCACCGGTTTACATTATGTAACCCAGACCTCATTAATATTAGGTAGGTTGAGATGGGAGGAGAGAGGGCTGCAGGGAGCATGGTATGAACCCTACTCCTAGGGAACTGACAAGTATACACAGACCTTTATTTCAGCCTTGCTCTCCTAGCTCTAAGCTAAAGTGGCAGGCCTGCTCCTAATGTTTGCAGGCTTGGGGAGGAGCACAAATGAAGGCCCACTTACCATATACCTACATTTTTATGAAATATAAGTCAAGCTAATTGTGAATGATCCTGCCTCCTACAGTGATAGCATACTTTCTTAAACTGGAAGGCCAGGTTGAATTTCGACTTCTAGGAGTTCTTGAAGTTCTGTGTTAGAATCTTCCCCAGGGTTAGTCCCTAGGCTGCAACCTGCCTTGTCTTCCCTTTGCACTCATCTCACCCTGCAAAAGGCTCGTGTATATGCATAGACTCTCCAGCCTGTTTATCCAAGCGTCATCCACCCAGCTCTCCAACAAACATGTGCCTGTTGGTCACCTCTTGGGCCTAAGAGTGGGCACACCTACACAGTATGTCATCAGGACCTAGAGAAGAACAGAAAATGGGCTTGGCAGGGAATTCTGGGGTCCTAGGTACCAGGAGGTGGTCTCGGAAAAAGAGCCCATTCCCTTGACCCTGTATCCCACGGGGAGGGTCATAGCTGAAGTGGAGGTCCAAGGCACTGACCCTCACCCTCTCACAATGGGATTTTCCAGGCCACAAGCTCGGGCAGCAAAGGCAGCTCCCTGATTCCTCTTGCTTTGTGACACAGCTAGCCCCACCCTGAGAGGTGGAGAAGAAATAAGCAGACTAGTACAAAAGAAAAATACTGTTTATTCCACACAACTACATCAAGTGCTTCACCACCATTCTCCCCTCCCCAGCCCTCACTCCAGCCCTCAGTAGGCTTTGCCCCATGTCAGGGGACAGTCAGAACCTGTGTCAGGGCCTGGCCGGTGAGACAAGAAGGGAACATAGGCATAGGAAGGGGATGGGATTTCCAAGGACACCAAGACATCAGGGTCTCTTATTCCAAATTCAAGTGTGTTCCTCAATCCATTTGGCCAAATTCTTTCCTGGGACCCACCTGGGTAAAACACCATAGTTAGTGAGGGGTCAGAGGCCCCAGGTGATTCATTGGGCCATAGAGAGTTTTGGTCTTTTCTTTCATTTAAAACAAAAACAAACAATACCATACAAACAGTTAAAGCATTTCTGCCCTTTCTGCTGCCTTTCCACAGTAAAAGAACCACTGAGCTCTGGCTTAAGTCCAGAAAGTGCTTTAAAAACAAAATTTATACAAATGACCTTCAAAGCCTGATGCTCACAAAACAAACAAAATAAGAAACACAACTCCAGACCCCCACTGCTTCCCAGATGCCCTGTGGTGGGGAGCAGGAGCAGAGATGGCAGGCCTGAGCTCTGTTCCGGAGACACTTCAGGGACACTCTGCACCCCTCTGCTTGGGGAATCCACCTGCAAAAATTCTGCCCCTGGTATAGTTCTTCTAAAAGACCTGCCTACCCTTCCTGCAGAAGAGAAAATGGTTTAGTTCTAGCCCAGCCTTGGAAGACAGATTTAAATGGAGGAGCTGAGAAATGTGGCCAAGCCTAATTCAGACCAGGAGTACATTACCTTTTTCCTGTAGTGACATAGGACAGATAGCGTCCTCCAGTATACCCACCGCCATGGACACACCCTGGATTACATGCTACTCCCAGGGCACCAGCAGTGACCCACTCATCTCCCAAAAAAGAAAGCATAGCTGAACGCAGGTGTTTGAGGGTGAAAACCTGCATCTCTCTAATCTGCTGAAGTGTAAATCACTGAATCCCTTACAAACTCTGGTACTTTAACTCTCCTTACTGAAAACTTGTTTACAATGCCCCTCCCAAGTGAGCTTATCATCTCATTGAGACAGGTAGATAACCTTGAACTTGAGTGTACAGCCTCCCTCTTGGAGACATATTCTTTCCAGGAAGGCTGGGGCAGGCAAGGTGCCCCCTGCATTCTCGGCAGGTTTGATTGGCCTGAACGCAGTGTGACAGGAGTGGGGGAAGACAGACAGACAGTGTGAGTGTGTATGTGTGTGGTGATTTGATACACAACTGTCTTTTCATTAGCAGGCCTACCAAGGGGACAGCCACACTGGCACTGAAGGGCCTGGGAAGGAATAGCTGGAGGCAGGAGAGGAAACACAGTGGGCCAGAGGAAGCGAGGCCAGGAGGTGGCTCTGTGCAGTGACCACAGGTGCAATGTGCCCTCGCGACAGTCACTGCCTCAGGGTGTATCATGTGAGCTGCAGTGGAGCGCAGCTGCTGGAGACCTGGCTCTATAAGGACAGAAGTAGTGAAGAGAGGAGGTGGCTCGTCCCTGTGACTGTGGCCCTTTAGGGATGGCCTGCTCAGCAAGTCTGGGCTCACTGAAGCCAACCGCTTAATGCTCTCCTGACCTCCTAGAGTCTCATCCTGAGTTCCAGGGGCCATCCAGATACAGTGAGGCTGGGAAACTCACTTAGTAGCCTGGCTGAGATGCCAACCCCCAATGTGCCATAGTTGCCCTCTCTAGAGGCAAAACCCATCCTAGTTCAGGTGTGTTCTTGACTCACTTGTTTACACAAATACACAGTGTAAGACTCTGGATGAAATAAGAGATGAGATCTCCTCCAGTATCCGAGGCTTAAAGTTACAAAGAAAATTAGAGTTAAGTCACCTTCCAAAAGAGACCTTCCTGGGCTGTCATCAGTTCTTTCTGGATGCTGGCCTTTCCCCTAGGGCCTTGCTGTCTGGTTAACTGTTTAATTTGCCCCTTCTGAGAACATCCCCATACTGGGTTGGTGGTGAACATGAGGACAAGAGAAAAACAGTCAGAATTCTTTTCCTCATTTTTCTTCAGAGTGCCTACTTGCTTGGCCAGTGAGATTTTCCAGGCTGCAAGTTCTCCTAACTCATGCTGTCTTGGGGTGAGATAGCCATGAAAGAGATTAGAGTAAAATCTGAGAGGATGGCCTTGTTTACTAAGTTCCTGACCTGCTGCAGACCCAAGTCACCTCCAGGATAGCTAGGGTTCCCTGTTGCTCCTTTCCAATGTGGATTACAAAAGAAAAGGTTCTGCTTTAATGCAATGTCCCCCCAAAGGAACCAGAGAGAGGTGGGAGAGGAGATCACATATTGTGGCTCTAGGGCTGACCTTGAGGTCAAGGCAGACACTGAGTCTGACCTTCCGAGCAGCACATCACATTTTTCAGAACTGTGTCCCTTGGGTCCTTTCATGGGGACAGAGTGCCTGCAGGCAAAGCAGGGGAGGGGGAGGCTGTGATTCCACTGGCACCATACCTGCCACACTCACACAGAGGAGCAAAGGAGAAGATACGGTAGAAAGAGAATGCCACTGAAAACAGGAGCTAAGGGCCAGTGGTCCTTAGGGGCTGCTAAAGCCCTGCCTCAAAGTAGATGAGTTTCTGATTCCCAACCAGAATTCATCCTTCAAAACCCACATTAGCAAAGTGCTTCTTTAAGTGATACCACTTAAGAGAGGGGTCCCGTGGCGTGACCAGCCCCCAGCCTGTAGCTCCCAGGTGGGCCCTCTGCCCTCTCCACAACGGGAGATGTGGGTGGGAAGGCAGCTGACGCACATGCACACAGAGGAGCCGCTCGACCCAGGACAAGCACGACTGCATATGGCGGAATGACAGGTGCCGACACGGCAGCGGCTGCAGCTGGGTGCCAGGGGAAAAGTACAAAGTGCTGGAACACAGGGCTGAGGGCTGAGCCCTAAGGGATCTGAAAGACGTTCAGCTTGCTGGTGTTCTTCAGTGTCTGGCGCCGATTGCAGAACCAGACCCGCACCACTTCACGGTCATAGTTGAGCTCCTTAGCGATCTCGGTGATCTCCTGGCCTGTGGGCAGTGGGTTCTTCTCAAAGTAGGCATTGAGCGCCTCTATGGCCTGGGGGGTGAAGGAGGTGCGGCGCTTGCGTTTCTTGGAGGGCTCCCCTCCCACAAACTCCATCAGGTTCTGCTGGCCCTCCTGGTTCCGGAGTTCGGCCTCATTCAGCCACTTCTCCAGCACTGGCTTCAGCTTCTGGGCACTCTTGGGCGTGATGTCCAGCTTCTCAAACCTGTAGGTGACACAAGCCCGGGAAGGGACAGTGAGGATGCCTTGCTCCGCACACCCAGACTCTCTGCAAGGGGCTGCCCCTTTCAGGGCTGGTGGGACTGTACCTAATGTCCCCCTCACGACCTCTACCCAGACCCCCCTGGCCTTGGGCAGCCCGGACTCCTCAGACTGTCCTGTATCCCAGGTGATTCTCACTACCTCAGTTCAGAAGTGCCATGATAACTGTGTGACTGCTTTATGAAGACCTATTTCAGAACTTTCACACCCAAAGGAGTGAGGTCCTTTGAGAAGTCATCTTGAGAGGCCTTCAGAGATGGCAAAAGATGTCATGAGTGCCGTCCTCCTCCAATCATACTCTCATAACAGTGTCACTAAGTCAGACTACTCTTTCTGGCAGAGCCTGGATGTGATGACATAATTCCCAACATGGCATTCTAGCCTCATAGTCATTCTAGTCTAATCTACGGAGTTGGCAGGCAGATGAAACCTTTCAGACATCCCTGAACCATGCACTCATTCTTGTTTGAGACCATCTGCCACCCCTCCTTTGATATTGGCACCAGCACCAGTTTGTATGTTGCACACAGAAAAATCAGCCACATCGCTTTATAGTCACACCTTAGAAGGAGGATGGGAGCATGATGGAGTGATGGTGGGTGACAGCTGAGAGGCAAGCCAGAGCTGAAGTTCCCACTTTTGTGACTAATTTCATAAGCTGTATCTCTTTCTTCCTAGAATTTCTCAGTGAATTAGGGTCTTGGGTCCCCACCAAAAAAGAGATATAAATGCTCAGGATTTGCGGATAAACTTCAGAGGGCCCTGGATCAGTCTTTGGCTACTCCAGGTATGTATGTTTACCCTTAGATCAGCCTTCCTTTTCTAGAAGGCAGGAGCAAGGCAGAACAGGGAAAGGGGCCAGATACCTTGGTGCCTGTGAGTGCTTAGTGGCCCCAGGTGCCTGAGCAAGAGCTGGCTTTGCCCAGGGCAGCCTCACTCACCGGCAGATGGCTGACTGGCTGTAGGCTGGGCCTTCCGTTGCAGTCAGAGCCTGACCCACCTGGGTCTGGGTGAGGCCCAAGGATAGCCGCCGGATCTTAAAGTTCTTGGCAAACTCCCGGATCTCTTCTAAGTTGATACCATCCTCATCCAGACTCGGGGTACGTGGCTCTAAGCCAGAGGAAGGGACCAGGGGTGAATGTGTAAGACAGGTAATCATCACTGCTTATCTAGCCCACTGGCCTGGCCTGGCGAAGGAATGAGGCATGAGGACACTTGGCAAAAGGCCCATGCACCCTCAGGACTCTCATCACCCCATCCCAATACAAACACGACTTGGGGGATAGGCGCCTGAACCAACCGGTCTGGAGGTGGGGTCCTATTTTCAAATTCTCCCGGCTTTAACTGCTGATCCTCCCATTCTCCCTGTGCCTGGCCCCAAGCACACCTGTGAGCCATCTACATTCCTCAAGTACTGGGTGAGAGACTACAGGAGAGACAGCCAATGGCGTGGCTTCTCAGAGAGGCAGTCGGATAGCCAGCTAAGCAGCCTCCACTATCACCATGCGTGGAATCCAGCTGGGCAGGAATGGGGATTAAAAAAGCCAATTCCTGGCATTGGGCCTCTGCCCTTCCCCTTTGGATTCTAGGAAGTTTATTAAGGAGAGCAGCATCTACAGAGGTCAATGTGTCCAAATCAATACCTCTCCCCTTCTCTACAACCTTCTCCAGGAGCCACTTACTGGACACCAGCTGGCTGACAGTAGGGGTCTCTGAGCAGGTAATAGGGATGGGAGCCGAGGCAGACGGCTTGGCTGCTGGGGCCGGGCTGGTGATGACCACAGCAGGCTGGGGCACGGCTGGCGTGGGCTGGATGGGCTGCACCTATGAGAAGAGAGCCAACAAGCCGCTGCGGCCCACCTGCCCAGCTCAGGGGCTTAGAGTCCCCGCATGGAGCAGAGGCAGGGCAAAAATGGGCATGAAATCCTCACTCACTAGTACATGCCTACTATGCACCATCAGAAAACAAGCCTACAAGCTATTTATTAGCACCCACCCAATGACAATGGCCTCCAAAGTCAGCACAGCAACATGCCCCACCAAGCTGGAGGCTCACAGCTATCTGGGATGCAGGTGGTGCACATTTGGGCAAAGCCTCCAGGTGTCCACCTTGACCTTAGAGGAGAAACCTAAACCTGATTCTAGAGCCTGCCAAGCCTTAAATGTCCATTAATAGGGTACTAGTGAATGGGACCTCCCCACAATGAGATACTGTGTAGACCTTAAAAAGAACTAGGTCTATCTCTCCACTATTGAAATGGAAAGAGCTACAAGTCATAGCTCTCACATAAGTGAAAAAAAGTAAGGTGAAAAAGTTTTTATGGACTAATTCCTTTAGAAAGTACATACGAATTTCCCAGAAAAAAAAAATATTGAGGCATATAAAGAAAGTAAGCTGTCAACTGCAGTCATCTCTGGAGGTGGGATCAGAAGAGATTTTTCCTTTTTTACATTATGCAAAATGTTGGAATTTGTATAAAAATCACATATCATATTTATAATAAGAAGAAACTATAAATATATGAAATTTGTATTTTTAGGTTTTTTTAAATAAAAAGCTTCCTGAAAAGTGCAAATTTCTCTAGGATGGGTCCTCGATTCTCTAGAATGGGTCCTGTTCCCTGGATTCTACCTCCTGGTAACTCTTCAGTTCGTTCCCTCATCATCCCCAGGGCTTTAGACTTAGTCCAGGGCTCCCTGTTTCTTGCTAGAACTGTTTAAGCTGCCTCCTAACAGATGACAAGGACTCAAGTCTCACCATAGTCCAGTTGTGGCTCCACCTGGGTAGCAGAGGGAATTTTCTTTAAATGCACATCATAATTAGCCATCCCCTGCTAAACCTCATCAGTGAATCTCTGCTACCTGATAATAGTGGCAACAATAAAAGCACGGGTTTCCAAGTGCTTCCTGTGTACCGGAGTGTTAATAACTGCCTTACGTGTAACACATCCTTTAATATTCATAACCTTCTGAAGTTAATATTCTTCTAATCCCCATTTACAAATGAGGCTAAGAGGTTATTCAGAAAGCTTGGAAGCAGCATACATTTGAGACCCCTGGGCCTCAACATCACCTGAGAACCGGCCAGAAATGCAAATTCTTGGGCCCCACTCCAGACCTACTGAATAAGGAACTCTGGGGTAGTGTGTAGGAATCTGGGTTCTGACGCACACTCACGTTTGGGAGCCCCTGCGCTGGCACACTATAGTTTCTGCAATTCCTGGAAGGTACAACACTCTCTCAACCGTTTCATCCCTTTAGATTATTTAAATGTCCCTTCTCTATGAAGCCTTGGAACTCCCCAGTCTGCTGAGAGCTCCCTTCTCTGAATTCCCCAAACACCTTATCAAGCCCCTAGCGTCGTCTTTGTTATGCTGGCTTATAACTATCTCCAATGGCGGGCTACCTAATGCTAGGAAGGCACCTCAGTCATCTCCCCATCTCAGCACTTGGAATATAGTAGGCATTCAAAAACTGCTCCTAGAATGAACAAATACATGAACAACCAGAGCCACAGCGCTGAGTGGAGAGGTGGAGGGATGAAGGGGAGAAATAGGGGTACAGAACCTCCCAGGGCTTTTCTGGCAGTCTGTTCATCCTGGAGCTGCTCAAGGCCCAGTTTACTTTTACTGCCTCCTCCCTGGCCTTCTCAGAATGGCCCTGGCCTCTGAAAGGCACAGATACATGTTTTTGGTGTATGTGGGGAACGGGCTGTGGGTGTCATTTCCCTGGACAGAGTGTGTGGGCTCACACGGGCCTTCTCTTCTGGGGCCTCCCCTCACTTTGGGGAGTTATCCTACTTGCCCAGAGGCTTCCAGAAATAACCTGGTCCTGCCCAGCAGTCTGCAGGGAGACAGCACTGCCTGCACCACCCCACCCCACCTCAGCCCTTGTACCTCACTCTTAGCAGGGGACTCAGGCGTGCTTGGCTTCCGGACAGCCACAGGAGGAGGCAGGGGGCTGCTGGCCAAGGTTGCAATCACCTGGCCCTGGGCATTCAACAACAGCTGGGGGGTCACAGCCTGGACCTGCAGGCTTTGGGCTGCTGCTGGGGCTGTCACACTAGCCGAGTTCACTACCCATGGGAGTGTTCCAATGACCTGGGAGGAAACAGGAAGGGACCCCAGGTGTGAGCACAGTGTCCAGCTCACCCCAACCCAAATCCCCACACTGGCCGGGGGTGGGGGGGGCCTGAAATCATTTAACACCTCTGGGACCTCAGCTTCCTCATCGATACAGTGAAGGATACACACTCTAGGGGCAGCTTCCTTTACTCTGTCTCCAGAGCTGTGGGGGAGTAGAAACAGGTCTGCAATGTGGACCGAGGGCCCGGATGTGAATCCCTGCTCTGCCACCTTTTAGCTGTGTGGCTTACTTTCTCAGACACGGGAACAGAAATCTCCACCTAACAGATCTGTACTCAAAGCAAAGTGAGATAATGTATGAGGAAGTACCCAGCACAGAGCTTAGCCACCAAGTGGGTGCTCCGCAAAGGGAAACCCCCAGCTGGAGTGAGCAGGGCAGTGGCTCGGCCCCAGTCTGGGCTCAGCATCACCAGAGAGCTCCCACACAGGAGATAGGCACAGCAGCCTGACACCCTGCTTGAGTTTCTACAACACTCAGCCCAAGTCCTGCCCCCGAGCCAGCTTCTCCCCAGCCCCCAGCCCTCAGCCCTGGCTTTCAGCACTTGCCTGTCCCTGAGCGTTGGTGAGGATCTGGCCGCTGATCCCCGGCATGCTGGGAATGGCGTTGGCAATGACGGGAGTTGTCGTGAGGGAGCCCAGGATCTGGGTCTGTCCCCCGAGGGAAGCAGCACTGATCTGTAGGTGGAGGAAGAGCCTTGCTCAGAGGCCTCAGGGCAAGAAAGAGCCCAAGGCAGAGGGAGGAGGACTGAGTGCATTGAGCTGGGGAGACAGGGATGCTAGGCTGATGGGACTGTGGGCTGCAGGCCCACATCCACTGGCTGAATAGTATCCAGGGCTTGGGGCTGCAGGGGGTCAGCAGGGAAGGGTGGGGCCACAGTCCTGAAGAGTAAGTCTGGCTCATCTCTCAGGCCAGGCTTGGGAGGGCAGAGGGCCAGACTTAGAGTGGCTGATGTGACTCTATCCCATCTAGAGCTCCACTGCCAAGCCAGGAGCCACACTGAGCAGACACTGGCATGGAGCTGTGAGCCTCTAGCTCCACCTTAGCAACCGCTCACAAGTTTGCAATCCCCAGACATCATTCCACCCTCCAAGGCTGGTCCGGTGCTTCAGGTTCTGGAGAATAGACCCAGCCCTCCTGGCAGAGGTTGTCTGCTCTTGTCTGGGATGGATGAGCAGCCAGCTGCAAGCAGAAGGCATCAGAGGAAGCCCATCTCTGCTGATGTGCTGGAAAAGAGCTGTATTCAAGGGCCGGTCCTCCACCTCCTTTCTCCCCTGCAGGAAGGGCCAGTTCCACCCTGGGCCCAAGATTCGGTCCATCCCTGGTCAGCCCTGGGCGAGGGCAGCAGCTTACGATTCCTGGGCTAAATGCGAAGCCTGCAGGCTGGACGGTGATCTGTGGGGGTGTGTCCACTGGCTTGGGGGTGGGGGCGGTAGCGGTGGCAGCTGTGGGCTGCGGCAGCGGCTGGCTCTGGAACAGCATCTGGGGCTGGGCTGTTGGCCGGGACTGGGCGGGTGAGGAGGCCTGGGCCGGTGGGGCAGCTTGTACAGGTGCTGGGAGGGTGGCATTCAGCACGGCAGCTGCTATGGAGCAAGGCAGAAACAGAGGTGCTCAAATGCCTAGCCACAGCCCAGAACGGCTCCAATCCCAAGGGATGTGGCACAAGAATGAGGGAGTGGGGCAGTGGGGCAGAGGGGAACAGGCAGCTGTGGTTCCCTTGGTCCTCGCAGGGGTGGCACGTGCCAGCATCTCTCATCCCCCCTCCCTTGGGCCTGGAGATGTGCAGGTTCAAAACTGGAAGTTGAATCTTCTTGCAGTCCTTCTCAGGAGGCTGGTCACGGGGTGAATTCTGGCGAAGGGGATGAGGGGCAGTCTCAGACAGTTGGCCGAAGTAAGAGGCCTGCTGGGCCAGCATGGCGTCATGGCCTAGAGTTCTGAGGTGGCGCGGCAGCTCTGGGGCTGGGTGCCCAGGACACTGGATCCAGACTCCAGGGCTCTGGGTGGGCTGTGGATTCTGAGTCCAACATGGCAAGCACGCGTGCAGGGATGGTAGTGTAGGGCGATGGGGGGCCTGGTGCAGTCCTGGGGAGAGCTGCCGTTACCTTGGAGACCGGCCAAAGGTGGCTTGAAAATTCCCCCCGTAGGAGAAGCAGCGGTCAGTCCTGGGAGGGCAGCCACGGTTGCTGTAGGAATTGTCCACACGGCCAGCCCCTGCTGACCAGCCACTTGACCTGCAATACTGATGGGGATAAGAAGAGGTTGAGTAACTGCCCCTGCTGGAACCATAACTCCTGTCAGAACTGTGGCTAAGTTTTCCTGAGTCAAGACCTGCAAAAGCAAACAAGATTTCAAAAAGAAAAGAAAAAATAAAAAATCAACATTGACAGCGCAAATACTGGGTCTCTTGGACCCAGCTGAGCACAAACAAGCATTCTGAGGGCAGTGGGGAAAAGGCCACGTGATGGGGGGAAAGAGACAAGCCCTAGCTCAAGGCCCAACCCTGAGTAGAGTGCCTGGACCAACTATCCTGCCTTCAGAGAGGCAGCCCAAATTGGAGACAGCAAAATGGGGCACAGGCCCCTTCCCCTTGTCTGCTACCTCCCAGGCCCTCCCTTGGCCCTTGACAAAAGGACCGTGCTTTGTGGCCAGGAAGCAGAGGGCCTGAGTGGGTGAAACTAAGTGGTCAAGGGCCCAGGGAGGCCTCTGGGAAGCCCTGATGGAGGATACAATCGATGGATGCCTCAGAGATCTGTGCATGTAGCAGGAGGTCACAGGGAGCGTGGCATCCCTGGATGATCCAGGAGGCAGCTTCTCACTGTGCAGGGCTATCCCCTGGCTCTCAGTGAGGACTCTGTGAACAACCCATAAACTCTTCCAGGCATCCAGCAGAGGGGCTGACAAGGGTATTCACTCAGTTAGCCATTAGATAAACAGAAATGCCTGTGGCATGAAAGAGTTCATGGAATCTCTGCAATTCTTACAAATCTGCTTTTCCCAGTGGGCCTGATGTGGGGCAGGGGGGAGGCCAGGGGTGCCTAGTAGGTTATTCCCTCCCTCAAGCCACAGCATGTTCCCTGTCCTTTCCCATGAACTTCCCAGATCCCGTGGCCACCCCATATGGCTGTCCCATGCCTTGCTCCTGCCCACTGCCCTCTCTGCAGCTCCCCGGGGTGGCCCTTACCTGGGGGGCAGCTTGTACAGCCAGTGGCGTGAGGGTCTGCGATGCCTGAGGCTGGCTTGGGGCTTGGCTGAAGGAGGCAACAGCGGGGGCAGGGCTCACAGAGATCCCCGGGAGTGACTTCACTTCATGTGGCATTGAGAGAAAGGAGGACAAGAGTGAGCCTGGTGTGAAGGGAGGGATCACCGGTGTATAGCATCTTGTCTGCAGCTTGAAGTGGCAACTTGTAATTGTAATTCTGCATAACCCAGGACCACTCACTGGCCTTCCCTGGCCCAGGAGGCAGCTCTCCAAATGCTCTTGGGAGAATAGGAGGCTGGAGGTCTCTGTGCCAGACCTGGAAGGCAGACTACTCCCTTCCCACAGCTAGATGAAGAACATGCAGGCCTGTGCACAGTTGGGTCTCAGTCTCTCATTTCCTGGCTCCAAAGGACACCATGACCTACCCCATATTCTGTAGAGGGGCCTGACATAAACATGTGTCAGGAAGGGAAGGAGCTGGAATGGATGGGAGCAGCTTCCCTTGGCTCGTCCAGCAACTGCATCACTGTTCATCCCATCGTCAAGCTGCTTTTCAGATGCAGGTGCTGGCTTGGGAAAGGGGCAAGGATTCTGCAAGGTGAAGCCCTTGAAGTGACAGTTCCTGAAAAATGGCCATGTCTTGGCCACATTCAGGATCACAGGGTCTCTCCAGGCCAGACAGCTCTTCTCTGCCCATCCCTGAGGTCTGAAGGCTGTATGAGCAGCTTTGATGAGCTTCTAAGGGAACTTCCTATGACCCAGAGCTTTCCACCTGGGTTGTAGCTTCCTTTTGCTATCTTGATTTTGTCAGGGATTAGGGACCCCCATCAAGGAACGTCTTCCAAAACCACACGACAAGGAGGAGGGCTATTATTTAATATATGGCAAGACATTAAAAGGCATCTAGGCATTGGTGATGAGTGTCAGACCACATCAGTGGTTTCTTAACACTGGCTGGTCACAGATGGCCAGGCCCTTAATCTAGGCCTACTGAACAGAATGTCCAGGAGTAGAGGCCAGTAATCTCTCCTCTCTCTCTTTTTCCTGTCAGGCTCTCTCGTGATACAGCACACAGCCACAGTGGGGACCACTGAATTAGGTAACCTTCCGACCCTGCATTCCCAGCCCACGTTTTAATCTGGAAAAGCACCAACCTAACTCAGGACTATACACAGCATTTTAAGAAATCCAGATTGTTTAAGGAATTGAAGAGACAAGCAGGCAAGAACAAAAGCCTTATCAAATACCAAGAGAAAACAAAATGGTAGATTTAGCTTCACTGTGGAGGGGAAATACATTTCTAATTATTGAAAAAAATTGGAGATGAGGATGCTCTGAACCTCTGAAAATTTACAGAACATTTTGCTGACAAAATGTAATGGACTATAAAAAGGAACAAGAGAAAATAGGAATGTGATAAACATGAATGATAAAAAGCTTACCATCTAAAGAAATGAAATGTTCATTTAATTAGGATTACTTCCAAAGTAGGACCAAGGGATCTAAGGGTTTGCATACATTTAGAGGTTTTGTCCCTTCCTGCTAGACTGCTTTTCAGAAAGAGTGAATTCACAGAACCATCAACCATGTACCTGTTTCTCTGCAGTACCAACCAATTTAGATTTTATCGCTATCTATTTTCCTGGGGTTAACAGGCAGATGGTTCCTCATAACAAATTACTTTCCCTCTCATTGACAGCAAGATTTGTATTTTTCCATGTGATGACTTCCTCCTATGTAAGTAATTTATTTCTCTTCTAAAGGAATTAAAGAAGAAAAAACTTTTTAAGGGACCAGTCCAAAGACATTCAAAGTGGCACTGAAGCCAGTTTGACCATAGCCCAAACCAGAATCAGGTGTGTGAATCTATGTCAAGAAGGAAATAACTACATGAAATAATATGGTGGTAAGTGTCACACTACATGACCCATCCTCGGTGGCCACAAGTATGCAGGTGTGACAAGGACTAGGTAGTAATTTAGAGTGGCACAAATCACTAGATATTTTTTTCATCCTGAGAGTTTCCTATTACTTAGTCTTGTTTTGTTTTAAGAAGAAACTCTTCTTAACATTGCATATCAAGGCCACAATCTAATGGCAGCTTCTTGGGAGAGACCATCACAATACGTGCCTTACCTGCTTGATGACTCAAATTCCTTTACAGAGAAGAACTTCTGAGAAGGGCTTAAACACACAAACCTTTGGAAGGTCTGTATGTGCACTACTGTAAGTACTCATGCTAAGATATAGTTGATTTAGGATCCCTTTCTGAGAGTAAATTTGGATAAGAAGCAGAATTAAGGCAGGAAGATAGAAGGGTAAAAGGGGAAATTGGGGCATTGTGGATAAACCTAGGAAACCTCCATAATTTTCTGAAAAGGGGCTCCATCCCCACAAATGGAAAGCAATGGAAAGAGAATCCATGCCGTGAAATTCTTGTCTCTGCCCCATGGAAGCAGGTGATGCCCCATCCTTGCTTCAAAGTGGAAGCAGAACATTTCCAGAAGAAACGTTCTTGTCATTCCTTCTTTCAAAAGGGAAAAAATAACCCACTTTACTAGGGTGCTAAATGAATCTGCATACTGCTGCTCAGGTAGAGCAAGGGATATAAGACCTTGCAGTTTCCCTGAAGCCTGTCTGCTCTCATTTGCTCTCTTCTTGGCTTCTCCTGGCCCACCCCCACCAGCCCAGATCTCCAATCTAGGGAAAGGCAGATAAGCAGAAGGCAAGGGGAGATGAATCCTGGAGTTCTGGGGGAACTGGCAAGGGAGGCCCCAGGCTACCTGCAAAAGGAGATGTCTATTCTGCAAGGTGTTAATGAGGAAAGTGAATGAATGGGCACTCCCGGCTAGGGAGCAGTGCCTGGTACCAGTCCTCAAGAGCAGCCCAGGCTGTCTCACTGCTGTACGGCAGGGTAACTGGGGCAGAGTGTGAGTGAACCACCCATATCCATGGCCCTGTTTAGGAGAATCAAGCTAATGCCCTAAAGCCATCCTTGGAGGATGGCACAATAAGTCCCCCAGGCAGCCCAGCAGGGAGTAAGAAGCTGGGATTCTGCAAAGTCCTAGCTAACTCGCATTGTTAGTCCAGGGTGGGTAAGATGCCCTCCCATCCCCAGCTCCTGGGACCTCATAGCTCTGCCACAAAAGATCCTGAGTTGGAAAGGCTGGCAGGATACTGGAGGTATAGTCCTCTCTGCATCGGGCCTGAGGGTCTGGTTTAGACCTAGGAGCTCTCTCTTAGGCTAATTCAATGCCCTCTGCTGAGCCCTGCCACCCTCTTCCCACCCCCCCCTGACCCATTTCAGGTTAGGTCTGGTAGTGACTGAAACCAGCACTAAGTTCCAGGGACAAGGAGTGCAGGATAGCCCTAGCAGCTGGCCAGAAGCACAAGCTGTGGCCAGAGGCTATCCAGTGGATAGGAAGGTGACAATACTGTAATGCCACATAGGCCCCAGGGACTCATGCTGGCTCCCCAGGAAACTGAAGGAGGGGACTCAGGAGAGCAATACCAGTTGGCAGCAATGGCCTCGTACCAGTTGCCTCTGCAGACGAATCTGGGTTGTCTGGCCCAGATCCACCAGCAGATTCCCCGCCTTCGGCCACCCCCTCCAGGCCTTTGCCCTCCTCCTCAGCTGGGATCTGGGCATCCACTCCGACTTCCAGCACACGGATAGTCTCGTGGCCTGACATCACGATGACCTGCAAACAGAGGATGGGGACACTGCTGCGGGGAGGTGCTGATCTGGTCCCTGAGGCCCAGAGCTCGGGGTACAGTTGGGGGAAAGGGGAGAGGGCACTGGAGGGGGCAGACCTCCTGTTCAGAGGACTGTGTGCTCTAAGAATTCCAGAGCCTGGGGCAGGCTGCAGCTCCGAGTCCAGGGAAAGTCTTGCTAACAGAAAGTGGGCCCTGGCAACTGGGGGGAAGGGCTTTACCCAAGCTGGACAAAGTCCCCCAGAATCACTCCACTTGGGGGTATTTCTATTTGCTTCCCCTGCTGGACTTAGTTCAGGGAGTGGTAACTGGCCCGGCTCATAGCCTTAGAAGGACATCCTCTTGGCTGCTGGGATGTGGGAGGGTGGCTCTGAGGGCCCCTAACATCATACCCACATTTTAAGCTGGGCCAAGAAGCAAATCCCTCTTCATTTCTCTTGAAACCTTATAGAAGTTTTCAAAGACAAAGGGGTGGAAATGAATGTTCCACAATGTTGAATAAACTTTTTAAACTCATGATTCGTTTATTTCCAAAACTCAGGTAAAAGCCAAGATTTCCCTGCAACTAACTTCCTGAGACGAGGGTCAGGAATCCCCATGACGAGGCCTCTAGCACCGCCGCCCTGCCTTGGAGCCGGAAGCTGCAGCTGGGCCACTGGAGGGCATGCTCCAGCCTCGAGGGCAGCTGCCACGTCCCAGCGGTGCAGGCAGCCCCTGGGCCTCCTCAGAATATGTGGCCATCTTCCCTGCTCCGTGGCCGGCACCCAGCTCCCTGCCTCCAAGACTAAAGTGCTTACACTTGGGCCATTCAATAATCACGGACACTGTATGTTAAAAAGCTCCCTGCCAGGCCTCCCTTGCAATTGGCCTGTACCCGAAGGCCATCCTTAAGCCTGAAAATTGGACCAAGCCAGAGACTCTGCTGGAAAAGTGACAATATGACCAACCCATCAGGGGCTTACAAGTGAAATAAACCCCCAAAGCAGTTCCCTTTCTGACTCAAACTTGACCTAGAGGAGCTTCACTCCAATTACATTTTAAGAGATAATAGCCTTTTTTTACCTTTTAAAAATTACATAGTAATAAATGGTCATTGCCAAAAATTAAAAAATACATATAAGCAAGAAGTCAACATAAATTACCTGATGTCCAAATCATTCCCCATGTAAACGTATGTGTATTTGTACATTTTAATTTTACTTTTTAAAGTCACAGCTTAAACTCAGTCCCTGACAAATCCTGTTTTCTAACAGACCTTGAGGAGCTCCATGGAGTCTTCCTCCTTGCCCACATCCCTTGTCCATCACCCTCACGCCCGGCTCTTCCAGCCCCAGAAGATACCTGCTCATTGATAGTCAGAGATGACTCTGGCCCGGCTCCAGGATCCATGGTCCCTTGTGGCTGGGGTGGGGGCTGGCCCACACCTAGCACATCCTGTGGGGTAAGATGGAATGGGAAAAGCAAAGGCTGATGTGACACAGTAACATGATTTCTACATCATCTTGAAAAGTCAGAAGCAGAATGGTTGGAAGAAAGAGAAGCTACTTATCCCCTCAAGTATCTGCAAAAGTAAAGTAAACAGAATTCTAAGGACTTTAAAACTAAAGTGTGTTGCCTCCTGCAGCATCCCAGGAGAACCTACATTCAGGAGAAATCAGGGTGTCAAGAGGAAAGACAGAGCCAGGTATCTGTCCCCGGGAATTCCCCAGTCCAACGAAAGACAGCAGACCCGGCGAACCCAAGGTGACTTGGACCCACGCAGAGTCTCAGACGCAGGTGAGGAGGACTCTGTGAGGAAGAGTCTGAGCAGGCCTCCGGAAAGAGATGATAAAGACGGGAATAAATTAAAGCACTAGTCTCAGACTTTGATGTGCACGATCATCACTGGAAGCGTGTATTAAAAATGCAGACCTCCAGGTTCTCTCAGACCAAACATCCGGAGAGTCTGATTCAGCAGGGGTGTCCCATAGAATAAGCCCTCAGGTGATTCTGTGGCAGTGGCCTGAGGACCATACTGGCCTTTAACACGGAAGGCAGGACAGTATCCCAGATGGCGAAACACCCTGCCAAATGCAATGAGACTGCGTGGGAAAGCCCTTATGAGGACAGGTTGTCTGACTAGAGCCATAAACCATAAAGTCACAAGAGATAAAGGTAATAAAGGGGACAAACAGGTTTAGACACTTAAGTAGAAAAGAAGACAATGAACATTTATTTTGAGTGCTTACACTGTTAAGCATTTAGGTAACACTAGTTCATATGCATTACTTATGCCAGCTAGGGGATGGGGGCATTACTACCGTCATGTTACAGATGAAGAAACTAAGCTCAGAGAAATGTTCTGGGTCCCTCATCTTGCCCTTCCTCCTCCTTTTCCCCCCTGGGTTGGTTGGTTGGTTGGTTTTCTTTTTTTTATTATTATTTCATGGATTGAAGGAAAACTCATACAACATAAAATTCACCATTTTAACCATCTTAAAGTGTACAACTCAGTGGAATTTAAGACATTCTCAATGCTGTGCAACTGTTATCATTATTTAGTCTGGAAATTTTCATCACCCCCCAAGAAAACCCCATACCCACTAGCAGTTACTCCCTTTCTTTGCCATCCCCCAGCCCCTGGCAACTACTCACGTGTTGTCTCGCTATGGATTTGCCTATTCTCAGTATTTCATTTAAGTGGAATCATACAACACGGCCTTGTGTGTATGGCTTCTTTTCCTTGGCAGCATGTCCACAAGGTCATCTATGTGGTACATTGTATCAGTACTTCCATCCTTTTTAGAGCTGGATAATACTCCACTGGGAGGGCTTTCCACCCTCTCTGGGGATGGCTCAGAGAGAGGAAAACCAAGATTTCATTTCCAAGATAGAAAGTCCATCGAACAAAGCTGTGGCTTTTCCCAGCATTTCTTGGGCCTGCCAATCCACCACCTCCCCATACCCATAGTTCAAGAAAACCACCTATGAGTCCAGCACTTAGAGAACAATTAAGAAAAGCAAGATCTTCATTCAGTTCCCGTTACAGCATGGTAAAACATCTGAAGAGCAAAGAATGAAGAAAAACCAGCATCTTCAACAGAAAACTGTTTGGAATTTCAAAAAGATTTTAAATACATCGCTAGTCAACTTGAAGAAAGTACATGTTTGAAAAACATCTTCAAGAGAATCAATGTATGTGAATCTCAATCCCTTGAGACTGGAACATGCAGTGATCTCCAGAATGATTTTGTGAATGAGGATCTTCCCAAACAAGGATTAAATGAAGAAAGAGAAGAATTGGTGAAGCAGGTTCAGGAGAAAGAAGACCGACCATTTTGGAGGCTAAAACTAGTCCTAATGTTTTAAAATGACATTAAAAATGAGCTGTTTCAGTTACAGTTGTTAATGAAGAAGTGGAAAAGCTCAGGCCCGCCATTGCTCTCTGAGTTGCAGCTACCTGTGTCTGAGGAGAACAAGAAACTCAGCCTTACTCAGT